AAGGTCACCATCGCGCAGGGCGGCGTCCTGCCCAACATCCAGGCCGTGCTGCTGCCCAAGAAGACTGAGAGCCACCACAAGGCCAAGGGCAAGTAGAGGCCCGCTTTCTCGGCGGCAGCTCCAGCAGGTCTACTCCAAACCAAAGGCTCTTTTCAGAGCCACCCACCTGTGCACTAAAAGGGCTCGCGTGTTCCTTAACTGGATAATTGAGAAAAGAACATTTACCGCAGTTGGTCGGTAGGTGTCAGTAGTTACATCCTGGAGAGTGGAAAGTAACATCCACTTGAAAGTTAACAGTTCAAGCAAAGTTTACCCTCAGCCCATTAAAAGATGAGCAGAGATACTTTCCTACAAGTTAAGGCCAGCAGTGCAGCCGGCCCTCGGGGTTAAAACAGTGAGGAAACAATCGGGAGGACAAGGCTTGTCCAAAGGTGAATAGTTGCAAAAGTCTACAACAGTAAACTAGGGAGTAATAAAGCCGCCTTCAACCGTCTTCGAAGGACTTGTTTTGCATCTTAATGGCACGAACCATCTGCAGTTAGCGCCTCCCCGGTTGCTGGCCCCTAATCACTAGGAAACAGGAATGCAAAACTACATGCCCCGGAGTCCTGTCCTTGAGGCCGAGCTTAATACTGGCTTCAGCGGGACTCGACAAAGCCACACTAATCTTGTGCCATGTACAAGTCAGGAGTTTTTTAACCTCATTTCACACACGCCTCTGGAAATTGTAAAACGTAGTGGCGTGCTTTTAGATGAGGATGGTATAGTTACTGGAAAGTAAATATGTGTTCATGTAGTTATCAAATGTGAAATTATTTCAGAATAACTCCATATTAGTCAATTACTATTCGTCTTGGTGCATTTAGACAATCTACAAAAACCTTGGAGGGTCTCTAAAAGATCTCTAAATTTAAACAGAAATCAAGAAATTGACGTGAAATTAGCTTTCCTGAACTTGAAAGAGGCGAAGACAATCAGTTGGCCAATCACATCTAGCGCGCGTCTTTTCAAAAAGAAAGATGGATAGCCAGTTTCAGGTGCCAGAATTTCACATTTTTAGGCAGCATACAAGAAACATCGTTGTAATATTTATACTAAATTCTGCCGAGAAAGGGCAACGAACATTGTAAATAAACGGCACGAAGACTAGTGAAAAGGATTGAAAACATCAGAAGTGCAACGATGGCAGGAAGGAAGATGTTAATTTTCGGTTTGAACGCATGGGTGGCTCATGTGATCAGGAAGTGGGCGCCTTTTTCAATATAGTAGCCGCGAGGCGTGATGGACAGATGCCTGGCCCAATCAGAACGGGAGTCCCATTATATATACCGGTGCAGGAGCTCCCCTCACGCTGCATTAGCTGGTTGGTCTTCGGGGTTCCTCATGGCTCGTACGAAGCAGACGGCGCGCAAGTCCACAGGCGGGAAGGCCCCGCGCAAGCAGCTGGCCACCAAGGCGGCCCGCAAGAGCGCGCCGGCCACCGGCGGCGTGAAGAAGCCGCACCGCTACCGGCCGGGCACCGTGGC